AAGCCACAGGGTTTGGGACGCGAACCGCGGTCGACTACGTGGGAGTCCAGTGACATAGCCATTACGCTAACTGCTGGTTCCCTATCATGACCTTTCGATATTCCATTTAAGAAAAATTTGTGAGAATGAACTTGGCCTGAATTCTGAACCCTCTCACTTCCAGGCTGGGATGCACTGACCCAATGTAAGTAGTTGTTAAAATACTGAAATATTTTAGAGATCATCGCTGCACCTCAGGTAGACAGCCCCTTCCCAGAGCCTCACAAATATACACCTCGCAAGCACCCTGACCACTCTGTGATCTAGCAAACAAAGCACAAGAGCCTAGCACAGTGGGGATCATCCAGGGCCTGGATCAAGCTGGAGGTTGGTCCGCAGTGGTCAGCAACCAGGCCGTAACACATGCTTTAGAGATCACCCCTACCACGCTAAGGCACTAGGTAGGTTTCAGCAACAGCACACACACACAAAAAAAAGCCCTACTGTGTGCTCAGGACCATGTTTAAACCTTTGTGACTCCAAAAGAAGATGAACTCCATCCTAATGTACTCCCTTCCTAAGCCCGCAGGCTGATCAACAAGAAGGCAGCTGATAAAGGTAGAGAGGAACGGGAAAGAGGAGCCCAAGATGGCACCTTTTCAGTTAGAGTCTATAAGATCTGGTTAATACGTTCATTTCCCATAAAACAATCATCCAGTGGAATTTTTATACAGACTAAATAGAGAGCTCTCCAGCACGGGACAAGTAAACAAAGCAAGAAGCAGGTTATTTAGATTAAGAACATGTGTATGAATCAAAAAACAAAGTACTGGATTTTATGAATGTATACATCTAGATGTGTACATACGTGTGTGTATATGCCTATGTAAGGAAATGTATAGACACATGCAGATACGTGCATATCTATATACACGGTAGAATTAGTAAAACAAACCAATGATCAGCCTTGGCTACTGGAGCTGCCATTCAGTGGAGATGGCTGTTGATCTGGTAGTCTTTGGGGTATGAGTTTGTCTGGGTGGGAGCTTTGAAGTGGGGAGGGCAGGGGTTCAGAGCCACAGAGAGGAGATAGAGGGACAGAGATTAAACAAGTGACCTGGAAGATGCACTCAGAACTCAGGCTCCTGGCCAACTGCAAAGACAGACACAGGATCAAGAGTGATGGTTAAAGTGATTTTAGTTTTATCAGTCATGCTTCATCTCTTCTAAGAATAAAACAGTGGAACCAGCAGTTAGCGTAATGGCTATGTCGCTGGATTCCCACATAGTCGACCGCGGTTCGCGTCCCAGACCCGGTGGCTTAGAACTCACGCCGGGCGCATGTGCGTGCGTGTCCAAGATCCCGAGAGGAGAATGGAGGAGAAGGGATTGCAGCGTGACCATCCTCCCTGGGAGGTGATTTCTCGCTTTCTTTCTCTCTGTCTGTCTGGCGAGCGCACGTGCCCTGTAGCGAAAACCTCTCAAAAAAAAAAAAAAAAAAAGAATAAAACAGTAGCTGGAATGTAAATTAAACCAGTTATGTCACTTATTCTAGGTGGTAGAAATATGGGCATATATTGCATTTTTTAATTTCCCAGAAGGAAGCAGAGCTCACATTAATAGGTCCTCTGTCCATCTCTAGAGTTTCTAGGCCCTCAGACATGGAGGGTGGGAACTGTTTAAGAATTATCCCCATCAGCCCCACTTTACCTCCCACTGCTCAGACATCTCAGAATTCCAAATGAGCTCTAATCGCCTATCGCTGATGTACAAACTGTGCTCTTTCTATGATTAAAATTGAAATCTCTCTTTTTTTTTTTTAAGAGGTTTTTGCTATAGGGTGCGTGCACTTGCCAGATAGAGAGAGAGACAGAAAATGAGAAATCACCCCCCGGGGGGATGGCACACCGCAATCCCTTCTCCGTTCTCCTCTAGGAATCTTGGGCACACACGCACATGCGCCCGGCGTGAGTTTAGGCCACCGGTTCCAGGACGCGAACCGTGTCGACTACGTGGGAGTCCAGCGACATAGGCATTACACTAACTGCTGGTCCCGAAATCTCTCATTTTTAAGTTCAACAAGCACTGGTCAAATCTTATGCTAAGTTTCAGGCATTTGGGGCTGAGTGATCTGTGGTTTCTGCAGTAAGTCACTCCTGGTTTAACAGGTTGATCTACATGATGTCTGAGAGGGAAGAAAAAAAAAAGCAATGCCTGTGTTCAGTGCATGCTAGAGACATTTTTACTAACTAGTGTGTAGGATAAAGGAGGACATGGCTGAATCTTGGGAGGGCATCCCTTTGTGGAAGGACAATGAAAGGAGACTCTTAAGGTTTACGTGTGAAGAAATGAAGGGAGAAATGGTACCAGCGAAGAGACTCTGATGTGCCAATTCCAACCAATCCCAACGCTCACTGCAACCCAGTAAAGGGGTTGGTATTACTCCTATTTTGCAATTGAGGGAACCAAGACTGTAAGAAACAAAGTAACTCCGCTGAAGCCACTGAGTAATTATGCAGCATTTCCGATTCTCACCCAATGTGCATATTCAAAGCTGAGAGCAGGGTGAATGCGAAGCAGCAATGGAGGCTCCCCCAAGTCAGAGGTGGGGGTCTTTCAGTACCCACGCAAGTCATTGTTTTTCCTAGACTGGGACACTCGCTGACAGTAAAAGATCAAGAATATGTGTACAGCTTCAGACATTTGCTTATTTATACTAAAATGAGACCTAGGGCCAGTAGCATAGTGGTTCAGGCAGGGGCCTCCCAAGTGGTCCACCATGGTTCGAGTCCCAGACCCGGAAGCTTCAAACTCATGGCAGGTGCTAGTGCATGTGTGTCCAAAATCCCAGGATGAGAATAGAGGAGAAGGGATTGTGGTGTGGCCATTCCTGTCAGGGAATGTTTTCTTCCCTTCTGTCTCTCTCTGTCTCTCTAGTGAGTACATGCACCCTATAGCAAAAATCTCTCTAAAAAAAAAAAGAGAGAGAGAGACCTAAATATAATCTGACTTAATAAGGACTAGAGAGATGCTGGCTTAATTCTAAATAAGGTCTGTCCTGGATACACCACCTGATCTAGCCTAACTTCTTTAAGTTCACCTGACTTTAGGGGCTATTTCATTTCTGTCCACATGGACACGTTCTTCTAGCCCAGCTAGGGCCAAGGACGGCAGCTCAGCCGAAGTGGAGAACAGGGGCCGGGACAGACTCTGAGGACAGCTGAGAGGAGGCACCACCCCGGGTGCTGCCTAATCCATCCGACATGGGGACACGCTGTTCCAGAAACCGGATGACAATTAATCGGAAAAATCTGCTCTCACATCACTGCCAAGCGTGTCACAGGGTCTCAGCTGGCAGTGTGCGGCCTCCAGAAATAATGCACTCAGCGCGGCCATGTCCCATGCTGCCCTTCAGTCGGGCCCTGGAGTTTTCTCAGGCAGGAGGAGGAAGAGCTGGAAGGTTTCTGCCAGGGTAGGAAATCCTCCCACAAGCAATAGTGTCACCCCTCAAAGCCAGGAGCCCAAGGATTCTCCTAAGACTGAAGGCTGTGAGCTTATTCATCTGAACTTATGAAGCCGCAGTGAGTGCTGGCAGATAAAACACCCCCAGTCAAGGTGCTAAAAATGGTCTGATGCTGTGTAAGTCACCTGGCCTCGGGCCAGAACCTTCCGCGCGTTCTTTACAATTGGTCTGTACATGTTATTTCTCTGGATCAAAATATTTCAGATGATTCAGGAAAAACCACGTTTGTTTTGCTGTGGCTTATTCAGATCCATCGAGAGGAGGGGGCACATGGACAAGATGATTTCTGGGATACCAGGCAGTCTGTCTCCGCCTTGTCTGCCCTTCTGGCCCTCTCTGGGCATCTTCCTAGGTACTCATGTTCTCAACGTCTAAGGGAGTCCCAGAATCTTTTGACGATAATAATAAAAGCTATGGACTAGTTCTGTACACATATAAACATGGAACCACCTTTCCATGCATACACATACACACGTTTGCATATATGTTCAGGGGGTCACTGTCCCTGTGCATGTCACTCATGCAGTCTCCTTCTGTTTCTGGGCCCCAAAGTCGGAACTCTGACCAGACCACACCGATTCACGTGTAGGAGTCATAAAAATTCATCCTTTTGGATCTCACAGCCTCACCAGGAAACACCAACCTGAATCTTGGCTCAGCGACCCAATGGCTTATCAGACCACTCATTGCCCCATTCTTCCCACCCCACCCGGAGCTCAGCCACACCAGGGAAACTCCAGCTGGGAGTAGATCTCGAAATCCAAGTTTCTGTTTTGGAACTGGTACCCAGCCTCCCTTCAGCCATGTGGTCACATCCATCTCTGGAACCAGGCAGATGGATTCTAATTCACCACGTTAACCCCTTTCATGCCAGTCCCTTAGCAAAAAACCCTGGCAGGAAGCCACGTCTCACCGCCCACCCCTGCCATGATGGGGCTGAGTGCTGTGTTGTGGAAACCATCCAGCGGATTAGAATCGTGTTGCTCTTGGCATGCACGCTGGGACTCAGTATAGAGCTACGTGCAGACACCCCATCGCATGGGCAGCTTCTCAAAGCCTGAGTCCAGTGCCCTGTGCTGAACCCTTCATAACACAACTCTGAAGATGGGTTCCAAACACAGGGAAACCACATTTCCTCAAACCAGAAATCCCTTAACTCACCCATAATGGAAAGAAATCTAAGTCCCTCTTGATTTGTCCTAGAATTCAACCTCCTTCCCAAGTTATCCTCATGGCACGAGCCCATCTAACCCATGTTTATCAGCAATCAAGGCGAATACCATGTGGTCCAGTTTGGTTCCCAAGATCACAACACAGCCTTGGATTCATAATTACCAAGAACAACAATGAAGACAGAACTTTCCATCAGGGCCACTTTGGACCCATGACCCCAGGCCCTCTCAGAGCGAGAGGAGAAAGAAACAGCATCTTTTGATCAAAAGTACCTGAGTTTCCCCCCACGCCCCGACACCCTCAGGAATGAGAAATCCCACCTTACCCTTCATTCCAAATTTGGACCGTCGACCATACTTATTGATCATGATAAAGAGAACCACCAACAGTACACAGGCAAACGCTGCAAGTCCCACGGCTATGGATACCTGTTGGGGACCAAAAACACACCGTTAGGAACAGCCACGGAAACTCTGCACACCTTACAAAGGAACGGGTACGCCCAGAGGAGAACGGTCCTCCTGCAGTAGAACTTTGTCAGTAGGTCTTTAGAAAAAAGTAATGTCTAAGACCCTCAGGACATTCAAAAATATATAATTTATGTTTGTATTTTATATGAAAAATATTTTATATAAATCAAATCTCCAACTGGATTAGAGAAAGTTCCCTGATTCAAGGTTCTGAGCTCCTCTCACCTGGGGACCATCCTAAGAGCTGCAAAAGCAAGCATAGGGGACCAGTTCCGTGGCCTGGTGGTTAAGGGAGCTGGATTCTAGATGGATGATTAGGTTGTTCAAGTCCCTGGTCTGAGAGCTTCAAATGCATGCATGCTGGGCACACGTGTGTGCATGCTCAGAATCCTGATGAGATGAAGAAATGGAGGAGAAGGAACCGTGGCATGACCGTGTCCCACCGATCTCCCTCTCACTCTTTCTCTCTGTCTCTCTCTCAGGCAAATGTGTGTGCCCTTTGGCCAAAAAAAAAAAAAAAAAAAAAAAAAAAAAAAAAAAAACACCACAAGCCTAGAAAGGCTTCTGTCTGCTGTTGCTTCATTGGGTTGTCAGCAAAGTCATGATGCATTTTTGCATCGAAAAATATGTCATGACTTTCCTGACCACCTAGTAAGTTAGCAAGCAAATTCTGCATCTTCACACTGAAATGCTTTACAGCATATTCGTATCCAGGAAGGTCTAAGAGATCTGGATGCAGACGTGGACGGTGAGAAGACTCCCTTTCTCTATCTCAGGCTCTGGGAAAGAAGAGTGAACGACTTCAAAATCCACCTAAGGAGATGCCCTGAGCAACACCAACTTTCGTAGCAGCTTCTAAGTTAGCAGCCCCTGAGAATCAGGCCCAGTCCGACCCTGACAGACAGGGGATCCTGCAAACTATTCTCTTACGAAGCCTAGGGCTTGGAGCAGATCCTCAAATACTTCCTCAAACAATGAACTATTCTCATCAAACAAGAAAGGCTTAAATCACCTAAGAGCAGTCATTCATCACTGCTTTCTTTCCTAGCGTAGGTACTGAGGTTCCAAGTAAGATCACTGTTAGGAAAGAATGCAACCCCAAGTCTGAAATACTGCAGAAGTAAACACACTTCTCTTAATCAGAAAGGGAACTCACCCCAAAAGTGTCTTCCTCTGGTTTATGGGTCACAGTGATGGGAGGTGTGGGGCTCACTTCGTCAACTGAAAACCAAACAGAAAAGGAGGACAATTAGCTTGCTGTCGGTGCCAAATTCAGCCACAGTCCCTGCCCAGCTCCCAGCCCCCTTCAAAGTCCCTCCCAGAGGACACCTCCTGGAAGCCACACTTCTACAGTC